AAAGCTTTCCTTCTCCTTCCTTCTCCTTCAAGAAGACTCATGTGTCTTGTACCTTGTTTGAAAACAGTACAACAGCAGTTCAACAAAAATTGCTAATAAAATGGGGTTTGAAAATTGTTGTAGCTCATAAAATTAAATGTACCCTGTGATTGTCCACACCAATTGTCCCTACTTAGTTTTTTTACTGTTTTTTTCACTGTACTGGGAAAGTGGAAGCATGATCAAGTCCACATGAAGGGAATGAAAACAAGGATTCTATTTATAGAATAATTGTCTGAATTTGGAAGATATTCAGTCTGTTCAGGCTAATTCTTCCAAGTGGCATAAACTTGTGTAGACTAGCTGAATCTAAATGATGTTACACCGATTTGTACCTGTTGAGGACCTGGATTTACTCCACTGGAAGATCAGCAAGTACAACTCCCAGTGTTCCTGGTACAGAAGCTGGCTGGAGCCCAAGAAGGCAGGTTATGGGTACACCAACAAGCTACTGTAGGGCATGAACACATGGAGCACACACCTATTACTGTGGAGATTTTGTCCCCATACTGCTTTTACTCTACGTAACTTCATGGCAAATATGAGATGTTCTGTACCTCCCATCACCAAGCAAGTTGCTTCTTTTGCCATTAAAGTAGAGCCAGAGATGCCAGACTAGCTCCTTGCAAGTTGATCCTCAAACTCCTTACTGGCCACTCAGTCACCATACCTTATTTTTCAAGTTCAGCATGGGGAAAGACAAAGTCAGAAATACCTGCAAACTAGAAAATAAAACAACTCCTTGGTCTCAAGCAGCTTTCCAAAATGACCAAACGCATTTCACAGACTTAAAAGTCTTGTTCCTGTCACACCAAATGCCATCACACTTTTTGAGACACCCTCCTGCCAAGTTTAATTGTTCAGACTATGTCCCATTTGACACAGGCTTCACAGCTCTCCATACCTCAGAATTGTATCATCCCTGGGATTATTAATTTTACTGATTTAGCACAAGTAGTAACAAACAGGATAAAAATGATGAACCACTTCAAGGATAAGCCTTCTGTAATGCAACTAAGAACAGCAGTGAAATAACATCTTCGTTTACTACAAATATTGCATTTTCCGTGCTGTAGCAAAGTGTACCTCCATCATTTACTTCTCCACCTGTCAACCACACTGAGGCCAGTCCCTTGGAGAAGGATGCTGGCCGCATCACTGATCCCTCACAACTCTCTGTGTACAGTGGATATTCCAGACGTCTTCACAAGACACAGGAGTCTTTCCATTAACTACGGTATGTTCAGTCCCCTGGGATGATCCTGACACCACGAGAGACATGTGAAGTATGAACAAATAGAAAATTATTCTTACTACAATTACTTTTTAGCCAGAAACGGAAATGTCCTGCGCGTAGCTGACCTTTCGTAGAGCATCACCTATAGTTTGAGAGCTGAAGTGCCCAGGATGTGGGACCATGTTTTTGTATTTCATGAACATTGCAAAGTTAAAGATTTTATTTAAAAGAATTTCATTTAAAAGAAAAATAGTAAATGGCACATCATGTAATTGCTATTTATTTTCATAAACATGAGGTATTTCAAAGTGCTATAAGACGCAGCACTAAATGTACATCGTTGGAAGAAATTAAACACAGAACTTTGCAGTTACCCAGTTCTATGCACCAAACATTAACAAATACATTAACTGGAAGAAACAGGCTAGGAAAAGGCATATATAGTAAATTTCTTTACAAAAGTTTCTTAGTTCAAAAAAGTGATAAAGTAATATCTACTCAAAACTTTCACAACTCATTTTCATACGAAAATATAAGTATCAAATTTAGTTATGTATCAGCATCATACTAAAGTATACAGGCAATGTAAGAATTAGTACAGTACATAACAGAGATTAACAATATATTTGTATACAAAAACATGCTCCTCAAACATTGAGGTATTACAGTACTTAGGTATGAACTTCCAGTCTAATACTGGCAGCAAAAGCCACCTCTCATAACCCAAGACATGTACAAAAGGCAAGTGTGTAGATGGTATTTACAGAAAATTCCCACAGGGGTACAAATGCCAACCCCTAAAGTAACATCTGTTAGAACATAAGCACCATAAAACTTCGGAATGAACATTTTAAAACTCAACTAGATGTCATCAGCAGCTCCAAATGCTCACAACAATTAAAAAAAAAAAAATCCCCACCATCTACAGTTCTTAAGAGGAAAAACAAAGGCAGTCCATTGTTGTTTGGTAGTCTTGCAATAAACTCCTTGCAAGAACATCCACTTGCTCAGTACCCGGATAATATAGTTTTGTCGATTACTTCAGGGACTGGATTGAAAGTAAAACCAACATTCTTAACGTCAAAAAACACAATTTTTTTTTTAAAGAATCAAAAATGTGCAAAGTGGCAATGACTGTCCTGGTCAGCCAAAAAAAAAAATAAAACCAAAACAAAAAAAGTTTAGCAAGTCCGCTTGTATTCTATTTTCTTTAGCAACTGTTGTTGCCTGGCTTGCAATTTTTCCTTTTCTAGCAATAACTTCTGCTCCTCTGCCTGAAGGGAATGAACATATTCAGTGGCTTTTTTCAAGATCACAACTTTTGCAGCTTTCTCATTTTTAACCAGTTCTGGAACATGGTCCCTTAACGTGAGGAAACTTGACCGTAGATCATTACGCCGTTGGCGCTCCAGGATATTATGGTTACGTCGACGTTCACTATCCTCTGAATCAGAATTTCGAGGACTGGAACTCTTAGACTTTGGTTGGATCGTGGGTTTTACTGGACGGGGCACCTCGGTTTTTAACTTCTTCTGGGGTGGAGCATCTTCACTCTCCATGTATGGAGAAGGAGCGGCATAATTATGCTGCTGGTGAATTGGTGCGCAACGCTTTAAAATCAGTTCATTCTGCTGTGTCCTGACTGATGGAAAAGTGGTATTTTTAGGACGCACAGTAATAGTAAGGGTGGTAACAGCCTTGTTGGAGGAGGAGCGTCTTTTCTCCACTGTCACAACATCTATTTCTTCTTCTTCCTCATCCTCTTCCTCCTCATCTTCATCATCTTTTGGTAATACAAAATGGAAAATAAAATAGACGTTACTTTCACAGAAAATACCCCGAACAAGTATCAACCCGGATGCATTTAGTGACAAAACGTGTACAGTAAAAGCAGCAATGAAATAACTGATGGCAAAACCAGGGCGTGCCCACCACATGCAGACAAGACAGAAATCTGGAAAAGTATGAAAAATACACGAAATGACTGAAGAACAGTGATTTCTGAAAGTTCAAGAAGTTAAATTAGTCGGGGTTTTTTTTAAAGTCTTGTTATTTTTAATCAAAGTGGGGCTACCACCCACATAATCACCGCAGCAGAAAAAGAGTTTTTAGGCAGAATGTACGTATTCTGAAAGGCACGGTAGAGCTGGGGTACAAAAGGCACGCACAGTGCCACCACACAGCCCTTGCTTGGTAGAAAAGCAGCCGGAAAGCGAAACAATCGCCGGGTTTGTTCTGAGGCAGAAGGTGAAGCTGCTCCAGCCGGGGACCCTTTAAGCCGGCGCTTGGTGCTCTGCCAAGAAGACAGCTGTTGGAAGTGCTTCCTCACCCAAAGCTGTCAAACCAGACATTAAAGGGACAGCAGGCTTTGAAACCCTCGGCGGATAACCAAGTTTATGGCGATGGTCATACGGACCAGCTCATCTATACACGCGAAACCACCTTCCAGCCCCAGTGGAACGTCTCAGCACGGACAGGAGACGTTTCTGGGCATTTTAGGTTCTGTCAGTGCAACGAAAGCGCTCTCTGAGGGGTCACCAGCCCGGTTCCAGCCTTCCCAAATTACCTCCAAGGGCACACACGATCGTACTCCCAAAAACCCCGTCCCCAGGGTGACAGTGGCAGCCCGCTCTGTCCCCCGCCCCCCCACAGGGCCGCTAGGACGGAGCAGAAAGTGAGGAAGCCCCGGCGTGGTCCCCAGCAGCACAGGCTGCCCGGAGAAGCTGTCCCCCCGCTCCGCTCCCCCGGGTGCCCGGACAGGAACCTGGGAGCCGGTCGCCCCCGGCTCCGC